ATACTCCTGTGAGCGGAAAAGGAGCACGCTAGTGCTTGGACCCGCTTGCACTTGGCCTTTAATGAATCCCCTCATCCAACGCACCTTTTCGTAATTGAATACAGCAGTAGTACATTGCGCGCCATCCTCCAAACACCCTGCTAAGCAGCTGTGCACACTCGTAGAGCCAAACTCCTGAAAAAAGAGGTGTGTGGCACACATCCTCTTTAGTACATACATTGGCTTACCTTGTACGGAGCTGAAGCCATTTTTCTGTCTGGGACCTGCTCGAATGATGCCTCAAGACAAGTGAATGACACTGAAATGAAGGATGTCTTCTGGACTTCTTGCATTCCTGCTCAATCAGTGATTTCTCGCAGTGCCTACAATGGGGTTAACAAAGCGGAAGTGGTGGAGAGGGCGGAGTTGGTCCCCTTCGAGCCATCGGAGCGCTCAATCCCTCCTGGATCTCTCAATTGGTGGAAATTATAAGGACGCATGCTAAGATCAGAGCTCGAAGTGATTGGCACTTCAAAAAGGAACGAGCATACGCTTAGAGGATTGTGGCAGTAACTTGAGGAGTACAAAACGTGCGAAATTGTCTCTGAACTTTTAGGAACCGCCATGCAAATAACAGAATTATCAATGGTTACATAATTACAAGGACTTTGAGCCGTCCCAGAAATATGGCAAGGTTGGGAAGCCCTCCTTTCGTCAGCACGACTGCTGGAGGCGGGCGGTTGTTGCTAGCGTGAAATGGTGGAAGGGCTACGAGGGTGTCTTCGGTCACACCCCACTAAGCTTTTCCACCAGTGCTAACCGCCTGCCCAAGCGATCGTGCCCGCTGCCTTCAGAGGAAGAGGGTATTTTCTAAATTCCACACTGAGGCATACGAACCGGAACGTGGCACCTCGAGGAATGATACCAGTTACGTTTTTGAGTAGACAAAAGGTTGAGTGGACAAAATGCGGTCCACACATTGTAATGAGAAATTTCCTGCTTCTGGGCAGTTCTCAAAAACAGTATTATCCACTAAAAAGCCCCCGGTAGCAAATTAGCGGCAGGACACGCCGCATCACAAATTACACGACCTGGAGATTGCACTCTACCCAAGCTAGCCAAGCACTCCCTTTCCAAAACCCAATTCTCACAGGTGAAGTGCCTTGATAACTGGAGAATTCTTTCGGCAACCTCGCATTCAGATTTTTCTGGAACATAATAGTAGTCGATCTGTAGGTCGACCTGACGCTACAGACTCACGCGCAAACGCTGAACCCTTAAGCTGCAGCCGCCAGCCCGTGTTTTCGAACCATTTTTCCGTGCCATTCCGTGGCATCTTTAGCATGCTAAGCTAGTATCAATTTTCTTTGCCCTCAGATATGTAATGTCAAAGTTATTGCGAGGGTGACGGGGTTCGGAAAACGCCCTGCCGGCCCTCCATCTTATTAAGATAAGTGGCGCCTGTCTGCCAAACTAACCATGGTGTGATCGTCGTTTTCGAGCCCGTCAAAAACAAGACTGCTTCAAATCAAAGCCAATAAGCCCCTTGAATGTATTCAGTTCGAAGTCCATGAGAAGCCGCAATCGGTAGCGCCGGCCTCATCATTGCGGACCCGTGGGGCGCGTGTCAGCCAGTATGAGTGTGCACACTGTTGAAGCCGTTCTCAGCCTTTTGTTGAAACGCGTATGCGACAAAAAGTGGTAGAAAACGAGTAATACGAAGGATATAATACAGTAATGTCACTTGCCCGCTTCAACAACTGGTGCAGAACGACTTTGGCACCGCGCCAAACGCAGCCGCACTGACACGCCCCACCGGTCCGCAATGATGAGGACTGTAAGTACGGCGGGGGCGCCTTTGGTGTTAAGCAGCCACGCCTATCGTGTCTCAGAGGTGAAGCGGGTAATTACATAGATCTGAGTGAGCTATTGTGAAAACATGCACAGAGAGGCAAGACTACCTTGCAAGCAGTACTTCTCAAAGTATTCTCCACTTGAAATCGGCTTCAAATTGAACGAACTCCCTCGCCTTCCAGTATACCTGAAAGTTCTCAAATCTTATGAGCCACTGGAACTAAAAATTCTCTGATCATGAACATATTCATCGTTACTGAAACACACAATGATACAGGACTTATTGGTAAAGATTAAGTGCAGCAAGGCTCATGAAATGCTTTGATATCACTGAAAAGATATTCGCCAACCCTGAAGGCACATTCCGCGATTACGTGGTATGTATCAGAATCCCTGTCTTGTAGAAAAAGTCTCTTTGGCAAACACGATGCTCTAGCAGCTTCTGACTCCACAGTGGGTTGCAGAGCGCTGCAGTCGTCATCAACCAAGAGACCCCGCAGAAGTTGCTTCACCTCTGTGGGTAGGCGTTACGCCAGCCTCGTGTCTTTATCTTCGCATGTGGCGTTATGCGTTCATTCTGTGGAGGACCAGCCTTACTGCTCTCGCTCGTCTTTCTATGCTCTCATCTCTCGCCTGCGTAGCCGAAGTGAAAGATAAAGTAATTTCAGTGAGTTTACCCGGCATCCGCTGTCAAATGGCATTCGCTCCTGACAGCATTGTGAACGAAGGCTCTGCATGGGAATCTTTCTTCTCCAATGAGATTTTCCTGAAACAAGGACATTAGCAATCCGCGCTCCTAAGATCAATAGCAATTGGGATCGGGAAAATGAAACCTGGCAAATCGCTCTGCATTCTTCAAGGCTCATACTTTCTATGATGACATCTTTTTCGTGGTTTATGTAGTACTCTTCCGTTCGAACCCAGTGCAATTGTCCATCGAAGCAGTGGACTGGAATTCAGATGTATCAAAATGAACTTTTCTCCGCCCATTGAATACAATGTCTACTTCACCTTGTAAAAATTTCATGTTCGTTGCTGACTACTTAATTGTATCTTTCGA